TGGTTATCTAAGGCTGGGGGGAGTAAGAGAACTGGGGGTGACTATTAATGCATCCAGGGTTTCTTTTAAGGGAGCTGAAAATGTTCTGGAACCAGATAGTGCACACCGTTATGAATGTACTAGATGTTATTAATGGCAAATTTTATGTCTGTTTTACCACGGTAAGAAAAGAAGACATGCTGGTTGTGACAGTTCAGAGGTGTATTAGCCATGAATTGAGCCATGCTAGAGTTTGAAGATCTCTGACATCATTCTTGTTGCTCAAACTTACATGCACATATGTTGAATTTGCCTCTTTTAAAATTGTGACTCAATGAGCTCATACACATCTCCTGGACAACGTGCTGTTTTCCACTTAATGACATATGGCCAACACCCCTCGTCATTGTCCCTTGGCCTGTACATGCAAATCAAGTCATTTCTTAATAGCTGCAAAATGTGCCTCCATCATTCCCACTGGGGAGCATTTGGAGTGTTTCCGAGCACTGGCCACCAGAATAGCTGTCGGGAGCATGCATCCGCACATCTCATTTTGAACTGGGGTTCACCTCTGTAGGATGGACTTATAAAAGTGGGGCAGCTGGGCTGAGTCATGGGCATTCTGAATGCCTATTATCAGACGGTAATCTTGCAAGGCTGAAGGAATCAACGAGCTCCCCTGCAGACCGAGAGCGTTTCCCAGACACCAAGTGCCCACACGCTAGCTCACACACAAGTGCATCACAGCCCCAGATGTGATCAGTACCCATCATTTTTCCAACTGCAAACTGACAATGCACACGAACCAAACGGGTATCAGGTCACATGGTATTGATGCATTGATTTGATCTGACAACTGCTGTGGTTGGTCTCCTTGTGATGGACCTGGGTTTTGGAACTTTCCGGCAGGGGTCCACAGACCCTTTGGGGATATGATGAGAGCGATGAACGGTCGCCCCAGGAAATATGTGTGTTCGGACATGCACACTTTGCAGGCAGTTTCAGGGGGTCAGGCGGGGTCCGACAGTGAGCCCCAGCCTCTGAGAATGGCTCTTGCATTTTAAACACGGCCCAGAGCACAGCATCTCTGACCTTTCTGATGAGCTCAAGCCCCGGTGTTTTTCCAAATGTTAATGGGTTTCTGCGCCCTCTGCTGGATGCCTGCGTATCGGCGCGGCACTGCAGAGCCAGGGCCAGGCGACTGGAATTTTCCTCTCGCCTCTGAGGCTTGTTTCCTCTCCTGCAGATCTGGCGCTGGAGTTTTTAAGTACAGAACGACTTTCTAGACGTTGCTGAAGACAGAACGACTTTCTAGACGTTGCTGAAGAAGCCCTATACTTAATATACCAAAATCAGCAAATTTCAAGGAAATTATTTATCTCCCACTTTGGGAATTATTAGTTTTGGATGGGGACTCTTATTGTATAAGGTTTGCTGAAAATTTATGAGGCTATCTGGACACTGGGAGAGTATTGATTCCCGGTGAGTAAACATTTTAAGCAAATTAAGTGGTGGTGGTAATAATAACAATCATAATGGCTACAATTTTTCAAGTGTCTGCTCTGCGCCAGGCATTCAATCCCTCCAGTGACAAGGGCAGGTTTTATTACCTGAATGTTACAGACACTGAGGCCCTGAGGGATGCAGTTGCTGCCCCAGCCACACAGCAGCAAAGGAAAATTCTCAACCCATCTGCCTGACCCCAAGCCCAGACCCTCCCATGGCACGGCAGGGCCACATTGGCAGGGCCTCGGGTCCTGAGCACACAATTCACAATGGCTGTCATTTCACCAACACGACCAGGAGGGGACCCACTTGGGAGGTGACAATGTACCCCCATGTCACAGAGCAGTAAGGATGGAGAAAGGAACAGAATCGTGCCTCTCTGGGGAAATGATTGCTGAATGTGTGTTAGACAAGCCAGGCTGGGGCAAGATGTTCAAGTTGCCCACAGAACCCCACAGTTTGTATTACCTCTGATTTATACTGTAGTGACCCCCAGAAACGATTTTAGACAACTTACAATTAAACATATGCACAAGACAGGGCGACTCACATAACACATTCAGGGGAAGAAAAAAGGCAGGTGGAGGAGGGTGGGCACTAACCTTGGCTCTGAGCATCCTGGCAGCCAAGGTGAATGGAAACGTGGTGGACACAGTGGTCATCATCTGCTTGTAGTGAGCACCCCATCTCCCCGGAAGGGCTCCCCCATTCCCAAGGACCATTTTCCAGGCTGACATAAGGCACACTGGTGAGCAATGTCCCTGACAGCAAGGTGCTGAGGAATCCTTTGCCGAGTGCCACCCCGAAGTCCAAGGATGCCCGATGGCATTTCCGGGAGCGCACTGGGCCCCCAGGGTTAGGTACCTGTTCTTTCAGTGATCAGAACCTGAGAGCCCAAATAAGGCACCAAATGGTTCTCCTCTCTATTAAACATCAATAATTGAGCCCATGACCTCCAACCCAGCTGTCAGACGGTAAGAGCGAGCACATACTGAGCACTTCCTACCTCCCAGGCCCCCAACAACCTCAGGGACCAGGCGCCACAACTCCCCTCCATCCTTCTCTACAGAAGACTGCTGCTCAAGCAGTAGGGAACTTGCCAAAGGCCACAGGGAGGGACCAGAAACTGCCACCTGGGGTCCACACTGTCCCCAAACCCTGCATCTCCACACTACCCCGGGAGCCCTTCTGCTCTGGTGACTGGGAGCCCAGCGTATGGGAGACAGGAGATGAGAAGGGACCTGGATATCCTACCCAGAGGACGGCCAGTGGCTACTGTCCACAGGAAGCTGGCCCCTCTCCATGCAGAGGTGAGGCCCACCTGGGTCACTGCAGGCCACAGCTGTTTCCCCACTGAAGGCCATCCTCAGTGCCTTGAGCCTAAAAGGACTTCAAGGTTCTGCAAAGGTGTTTGTGATCAACCCCTCAAAATGATTGATTTTCTGTTGGCTCCAAAGTATGACCAAGAAAAAACACTTGAAAATAAATGTTTAATGAGATATCTACAAAATGTACCATGGTTGTGACCAATTGCACATCAACTCTTCTATGGCTGTGGATGTATTTTATTTAGTATGTGAAGCAGGCTTGTTTTAACATAATGGATGAGATGTTAAGATTTTCTATAACAAAGGGCCCCAGAGACCTACAGCTGTATTAATATGACTCCACCACAGACTGAGCAAAATGTCACCACAGAGAGTTTGGAACTTGCCCAATTTCTGGCCAAGAGTTTAATTGAATTAGGGGCGTGTGAGGGTAGAGTGGTTGCCTTCAAAGTTTTGGGAACAAGCGTCAGGCAGTGGGCCCTCCTAACAACAAAGACAGTGGAGCAGAGCTCCTGGCAAACGCATGACTTTGAGTGACGCTGCTTGTTAAGTTAAAAGGGCGCCCACGTCCCCCACAGGGCACACCTCATTAGCTAAATGAACCGACCAGTCGGCAGTGTTGCTTTCATATCCACCTATTGACTTTGGAGAACGTTTGCCAAAAAACAAGATCTCAGTTTTGACATCGTTGATGCTGAGCTACATTTTTTTTCTGACTATTATTTGTCAAACAGGTTGCTGAGCTGGGTACAGCCAGGTCTACTGAGTATAAAACCACATCATCAACACAGATCTTACTGGCCCTGACAGCAGGAAATGGCACCAATTCATGTAAAAGTGAATCCAGTTCCTGGGATGTGAGTCAGAAAGAAGGGCGGCCAGGATACAGCGGCTTGTCCCACCGCTTGAAAACCAGGACTTCAGTGGTCGAGGGACGGTTGCCATGGGCTGTTTCCACAAGCTGTGTCAGGGTACAGGGCTTTAGAGAAACAGACCTGGCTGTGGGGTGGGGGGTGGACCATACCTGTCACCCAGCAGGACCCGACGCCATTCCTGCCGTGTGACTTCTGAACCCTGGAACATTCCAATGAGTGTTAGGCTGTTGCTGCCAGTGTCTTCAGGGGAACAAGTCAGAGTTTGACGACAGTGGGCAGTCCCCTAGGTGTGCCTGAAATCTTCCAGTCCTTTTATACCATACCACTAGCTTTAAAACATTCAAGCCAACACTTAAAAATCAGGACTCATACCAAAAAGCCAGATTTTCAATGCTGGAAAGCTCTGGAAAGATGGAGCAGCCTTGGGCTCACATTTCTGTGGGAGCTGAATCCTGGCACCCTCTTCAGAGGTGTGCACGTCAGCCTGCCCCAGTCCTCCCCTTTCCCTCCAGTATCCCATGCCCAGGTGATTCACCCACATGGCAGGCTGCAACCCTGTGGGCTGGTAGCTTTTGCGAGGCATAGAGCCAGGAACTAAGCATAGGAAAAATGATGCCACCTAGGTTCAAGCAGGAAAGGAGAAAGCTGGGAGAATGGGGGTGGCTTGGACCACTGAGGATGAGATAAAAGGATGCAAAGAGTCAGCTCTGATTCTCTCTCCAAGCTCATCACCAGCTTTTACACTGTCTCCTCCAAATCCAATACCAACTGACCACCTGTCACCAAGTCACAGGGCACCCCTGGCGGGGAATGCGTGCAAAGAAACAATCTCTCTGCTGCTCCTTGGCAGCTTCGTCCCCCCAGCCCCCACCCTCACCTCAGCAGTAGACCCCTCAAAGATGACTCAGGGAAACTTCTGGAACATTACCAGCAGAGGGTGCATTTAGTTCCATGAGTTTCACAAACAGATGCCCAGCCCACATGCACCAACCTCCTGACACTTGCCAGCACTTGTTCTGTGTGACACTGTTGCTGTCCTCTTACTGCCTTTAGCCCTGTTGGGCCAGTGCGTAGACGGGCTGGGGGCGGGAGCGAAGGCGGTTGGTTCCCCTCACCTGAGCAGCATGATCGCATACAGAGTACAAACAGCTGAAATTTAAAGGTTGGCATCAGAGCCTGATAGGTCTGTAACCTCCTTCCATCAACTCTCTCCCCAGTCCATTTGCAAGCAGGGCAGATCATTTAGGGTCTGACTCAGATTAACTGCTGTGTCTTCCTGTTTCTGGGAGAGCAGCAATGGATTTGAACTCTGAAAAGTTACTCAAGTCAGCTTTGATATGCAAACATTCCCAGGGGGGGCTAAGTTTTGCTCTTCTTCTTGGAGTCGATCCCATGTTTTACTTTCTGAAAAGCCTCGTTGGGGACCAGGTCCACCGGTTGCTTCACCCCCAACTTGGCCATCCAGTAGAACAGTATCATTCTCTGCTCGCTGTGCCCACCCTGCAGGCGGCGGGCTATGGAAATGGGGGTCTCCCCCTTGGCATCTTTGCCATGGATGGAGGCCCCATAGTTGAGCAGGAGCTTTATACAGTCCGAGCGGCCCATGGCTGAAGCCACGTGCAGGGGTGTCCTGCCCACGGGGGACCTGCTGAGACAGCTGGCTCCTGCAAAATAAGAAAGCTGGCTGAGGGACGGCCACCCTCGTGGCCATGAGCCCCACCTTCAAAGACACAGTCAAGTACAGAAGCCCCCTAGGAAGGGGCCGAGATGAAAGCTGTGCTTGGGAGAATTAACAACTGCTCCCCACCTCTGGCACCCAGGATAAGGGAGGGGGCACTGCAGCACCCCTACCCCCAGCACACAGTCTGCAGCCACTGATGTCCCTCAAACGTGTCTCCTGCTCAAATCCCACTGCTGGCGTCCACCGCCCTTGGGCTCTGTGCCCTGTCCCACCCCTCCTCTGTCGGCATCCAGCTTTGTGGCCTGTGCTCCCTTTCTCTGCGCCCCGGGACACCGGACACCGCCTGCTGTCCTGATCCCTAGAGTCTGCCCTGCTCCCTCCTCGGCCCCAGGCCCTTTGTAAATGCTGAAGACAGCCGTCCTGTTGTTCCCTGGGGCTTAACTGGATCCCTCCGTAGGCTTCATTCCCTTCCTCAGGAGAGCCTTCCTCAGCCCCCCTCCCCAGGACTCCCCTGCAGATGCTCAGGAGACATTCTGCATCTTCAGAACATGCCGTGCCTTGCTGACCACAGAATTACTTATTTGTAATAATTTGCTGACTTCCCCTCATAAACTCCACGAGGGCAGGAAGCACACTTGTTTTGCTCGGCGCTGTTTTCATCCCCAGCACGTAGCATGATGCCTGGAGAAGACAGGCGCTGGGGAAATGACACCACAGGCAGCCTGACTCATGGACAGATTTCACTTCCATTGAATCCCTCACTGCCTCCCGCAGACGGATGGCTAATGACAGGTGTCCGATACGGACTTGTTGAATTGAATCAAATTCTGGGTAACAAATATCATGACACAGAAAACAAGGCAATTCAATGACATGCATCTGACATTTCAGTAGTCAGTTTTCATGAGCTATGGCTGGTCAGTGAGGTAAAGTTTTAAATAGGTTCTCATAACGCCCAGCCTTGGCCATGGCGCCTCTTTGCAGCAGCTGTCTGCAAAGGACAGAAAACTTTGCAAAGCTGGCTAATTTTTTAACCGGTACTTTCAAATACATCACAGTTCCATCAGAGTGAAAATGACTTTTTATGAGCTTAAAGGACGGCTGGGCTGTGAAAAGCCCATATTTCATCTTATAACAGGCGAAGTGCAGAAAGCAGAATACCCTCGGGAAAACCTCCACCCTGCACAGATGCCAGCCTGCTCCCCTGCCCGAGCCTCTCAGATATTTTCCTGCTGGGGCTGGTGGAAGTCGGGGAAACAGCAGCAACTGAACAGAGAGGATGGGGTCAAGGCCACAGGCAGGAAGGGGTCTCAACTGAAGGCAAGTTGGCATGAGAGACCCTCAGAGGAACTCCCTTCTGAGCCTCAAGCCATTGACCAAATTCCACCTCAACTCCGTCCTCCTTTTCCCGAGGAAGGCCATGACCTGGGCTGTCTGCAGCTATTGTCCTTTGTTCTGGAATGGTCTACACCTCAATCAATAGACCACTTTTACAAAAAATATCCTACATCCAGGGAAAATAAAGTATACTCTGCAAAATCTCAGGCAAAATCCTTTAATTCAGAAACAATGCAGGCTAAGGCTTTTATTTCTATAGACAGAATGAGAGAGACAGCAACTTGCCCTTTGGTAGAGGAGACAGGAAACCAGGGTATGGGGTAACTGTCCTCTGAGGGCACTAATTCAAAGTCCTGGAGAAAGTGGCCAGGCCCTGCTGGCCGAGAGAGCCATGCCGGCTTTGGACTTGACCGCCCGGACCACTGCAGAAACCCAGCTTCAGGTGGGGCAGAAATAACTCGGTTTGGGAATACCCCAGCAGTGTGTCCGGTGAAGCTGGGCAGGCTGTTCTGGCATCTTAGTGCCCTGACGCTCTCCCCACACAGACAGAACTTCTTGAGACCTGGCCGAGGGGAGAGACGCAGCCTCTGAAGCATGTACACCAAGACACCTCAGGTGGGACCGGGCAGCCTGGCGGGGACTGTGATTGGGGGCTGGGAGGTCGCGGGTCCAGGAAGCCTTTGTCGCAGGGACTAGGAGGACAAGCCACTCTGTCCCCTGACAGGCAACAGACCTCCGACTCTTGAACACACTCTCCTGTCTGTCAGAATTACCGTGTTCTAGAAGGTACTGCACAGCATCCAAGTGGCCTCTGTGTGCGGTGATATACAATGCCACAAACGCTCTCTGAGATACCCATTTCTTCCACTCAAGGTCATCAAAATGTTGTGAGTTTGCAGTTCGGTAGCAACAATCTTCAGTGACACCCAGGCCAGACAGCTGTGCGGGACAGACAGGGTTACACACAGTGGCTTTGCGTTAGCTCACATCGCTGGCCCACCTGGCCCCAGGGACCGTGTGCTCGGTGCCCAGTTGGGGCTGATGATGGGAACGGACAGGGGCAAACTCTAGTGGGGACGCTGGGAAGCCCCAAGGGGATGGCATTGTTTAACCCGCTATACATGTCCAGGAAATACGAGTTTACAATCAGGAGGCGGGGGGGGGGGGGG